ATAAGGAGATGATTGAATAATATTCAATATCATCTAATATTGTAGCCTAAGATCTATATCTACTAAAAATTTCTTTTAAAAATATAAAAATATTCTATCTTATATATATATATATATATATATATATATATATGTTTTCTTCAAATATAAAATATATTCTTCAAATTATATAAAATTAATTTTATTTATCTATCTATTATATATTTAAATATATTTAAATATATTTAAAATTTTAGATTTAGATTTTTGGATTCTTAATTAATTATCTTAGATATAAATTATCATTCTTCTATGTAAACATAATTTAAGTTGTAAAATATATAATTTTCTACTCAAGATTGTTAGATTTTACTTTTAATTAGAATAATAAAAGTAATTAAATTAATTTGTAGTTTATCACTTATTAATAATAGAAGTTATAGTCTTAATATTGTTATAAAATTAAAATTTGATGTGTCAAGTATTTTTTTTTAGTATTTTGTCTTTTTGTTTTGAAAATATTTAGATTCACTAGTATATTTCATTTAATAATTAGAAATAAATTAAATTACATAGAAGTAAGTAGATATAGATTAAATTGATAAATATTTTATTGAAAAACTTCTTAGAAGCTTTCTAATTTTTATAAATTTCAATAAGTAATTAATAGGTTAAAAATTTGGCCAACAAGTTGACCACATTTTGCACATATTTGCCTCTTGTATTGTTAGTTAGCTTGAGCTTTGCTTATGAAATAATTAATATTTTTAGATATTTTTTTATTATTTAATACTTTATTATTTAAAATATTATATTTTGATTTTATTTATATTTTTTATAATCTAATTATTGCTTCATTTTTTTATAATTCAATCTTTAGTCTATTATGTTCTAATCAATTACTTAATTGATTTATAGTTTTGTATTGCAAGACAACTATGATTGATTAAATGGTGGTATAGAGTTGTACTCTTAGTAATTTAGCAAAACAATTAAGTTTGCTAAAAAAAATACTATTGACTTAATTTATCAATCAACATTCATGTTTAATTTTTAGTTTACAATGTATATAAGCAAGGTTATCATTATAAATTTTAATATTTGCTTCTATAAGAATTTTTATTGAAGTCTTAATCATACATCTGAAATCCTTTATAATAATTGCATCATTAATTTATTCTATAATATGAATATTTATTGCAAATATCACTTGGATAAAAAAATAATTACATCCTTAAATTGCTATATTTTTATTATTTATTTATTAATTTAAAGATTCATTTATAAAAAAGCATCTATATTTTATTAAATTTTTATAGTATTTTTACTTAATACTTATTACTACCTAGTTGTATTGATTGTAAGTGCAATGATGATTGTTAAATTCTTGGCATTTGCTTCTTGTAGTCAATTCACATTGATTTATTTATGTTTGATTTTCTAAGCAAAAAATATTAAATAAATTTTTATTATATAAATATAATTTAAATAATAATACATTAATACATATTATTTATTAGAGTTTTAATTATTATTTTTAATTAATAAATATATTTTTCTCTATAATATCAAATTTTGATGTATTCTTAAATTATAATTCTAAAAAATTAAAGTTTAATATTTTTATTTTTTTAATTCATATTTTTTTTATCAATCTATTATTGGTTAATATTTTATGGATTGTATTTTTTTAAAAAACTCTTCTATTTATTTAAAAATAATTTGATTAAATAATTATATTGCACATATTTGATCTTAATAAAAATTAAAGTTTCAAATGAATTTTGCATTGAAAGTAGAAGAAATCCAAATTGTTTTAAACATATGTCTACTTTCAAGAAATTGATATTAGAATTTGCACATATCTATTGTCAAGGATATAAATCTAGAGAGAATTTTAAAAAGACAACACACTTATATGTTACTAAAAAAGAAAAAAATTAAGCAAAAAAGACATGGCTATCAGATGGAAAAAAAATATCACCATAAATAAAATAAAAATAGAATATTAAACCAAGATTGAAATACAAAAAAGATTTTGGCAATGTTGAAGATGGCTTTAGTCTTGCTTGTATATATTTTCTACTAAGGTCATTTAAAAACTTCATAAGAACATAGAGGCTTATGGCCTAAGCAATAAATTGTATGTTTTTAATATAATTTCTTAAAAATAAAAGGCTTTAAAGATAAGTTTCAATATTAACATGGAATATTTATAAGAATTAAAAGAACTAATATGCATTTAGACAAATTTTCTAAATTTTATTAAAGAAGATATTAAATACCTAATATATTTGTATTTACTTCTATTTACTTCTATATATTTAAATAATATGAGCATTTGTTACACTTATGGTAGTGAGGGTAGAAAAGACAAAGTGATAATGTGCAAAGTTGCTTTTGAAATTGTTTTTAGCTAAATAATATGTTTAATATTTTTTATTATTTTTTATATTTTATAATTTAGTTAAATCTCCTATTATTCAAATTACATTGTTTATAATCATTTATTAATAAAAAACTAATAAAAATATGTCTTATCAAATATTCTATTTGAACTTTGCTTATTGCATTTTCTTTATTTTTCTGCCTAATTTTATAAAGAAAACTTACATAGCTTGTAAAAAAAAACTTTCAAAAAAAATCTAATCTTATTAAACTTTGGTAGACAAGGCCAAATCATTGACATCTTCATTGACATCAAGACTAACATTCATACCAATTCCAATTCTTCTTATGTGTTGTGCATTTAGGTTTTCATATTATTGTAACAAATTCTAATTCTAAATTAATGTGATACTTTGTTCTAAATAAATAAAGTTTTTTTTTTTTTTTTTTTTTTTTTAAATTACCATATTTATAAAAAGTTTTAGTATAAAAGTTTTACAAATTTTTACAAGTTTGAATTCATAATTCTAATTACTACCAAGATTACAAAATATAATTTTATTTCTTAAATAAGTCTATAATATTTTTCTATACAAATGTCTCATTGAAAAAAACATTTTTTTTTTTTTAAGTATGACTCATAAGTAATTATAAAATTGATATCATACACATTATTACAAAACATCAATAAGTTGCTTTCCAAATATGTAGACTTAAGCTAGTTAGTTATATACTTTATTCTTTTAGAAAACAGCTATAGACTTATTTAAAGCTCTCTCTCTCTCTCTCTCTCTCTCTCTATATATATATATATATATAGTGACCTTCAAAGTTGTCCCAATATTTATACTTATCACATTCAAAAAATAATGTAGATAAGAGAAATTCATGGGATGGAATGTAGTAAATTTATTGAAATAATAAATACAATGTAATAGTTTCTTATAAAAATTCCAACCAAATTTAAGCATTCAATGAAAAGAAAAAAAATCGCATGGCTTCTCTACATATTGGGACAATTTTGAAGGTTCAGTATAGAAATTCTTCACCATATTATTTATTTTCTTTTAGCTTTCAATACAATTGTTGTTCATCTAGATATTGTTTCTATAAGTCTATTGTAATCATCAATAGTGAGAGAAGATTTTTTTTTTTTTTTTTTTTTTTTTTTTTGTACAAAACTATATTTCAAGTATTTTTTTTTGAAATATATCATATCAATTTAATCTCTTTTTCAAAATGGTCCAAAGATTTTATATAAGATTCAAATCTAGTGATTGATGGAGTTAATATAAGATACTAAAATGTTGCCTAAAAAACTATTGTTTCATACTATTATTGCTAAACATAGGTGCATTATCATGTTGAAATATGACTTTTAATACATCTAAATCATATTTTTTAATTTTACCATATAGATGTCCTTCCAAGATTTTTTGATAATCATGCTAATTAAAGAAGCCTTCAATTTTGTGTATTAAGTAAGGTCCATATATACAAATACATCTCCATATCATCACAAAACTACCACCATGCTTAATAGTGGAAATAATAGTATACTTTGATAGTTCTTATGGATTATGAACTCAACACCAAACTCTTCCATGCAAAGAAAATTTGTTAATTTTACTTTCATTTGAGAATATGACGTGACTCCAATCATCAATAGTCCAATATTCATACTTTTTCACAAATTCTAAATGAGACCTAATATTTTTACTTAACAAATGTGGTTTCTTCTCTTTTACTTGTCATTGCTAACCTTTTCTATGAAATGCTCAGTACAATGCATAGTAGTGACTTGTATTGCAAAAAGTTCTTTCATATGTTTAATAGCTTTCCTTGCAATAGACACCTTTCCTCTAGTTATACTACTTATACAAGACTGCTCCATTTGACTTTTCAACTTATATAGTCTATCTTAAACTAAAAGATTTGCATTTGGAAAACATGTACATGCAACAAAACAAAAACCAAGCAATTTACAATGCATTTACTCTTTAATTGCTATGCTCACAAGATACATTGACATAGCCCTTCAAAATTGTCTCAATGAAGAGAAAATAGTTAGAGCTTCAATTCCTACATATGTTTGTAGCTCTAGATATTTCCCCTTCCAAAGTTGCACCGCAATTACCTTATTGATAATAAAAAGTAACTAGATTTTTGCCATGTTACTTTAACATGCAATCACTATTTGGTGATTCACCAACATTTCAAACTGGAAATGTTGGGACAGTTTTGAAGGTCCATGTCAGATCTTCTGTGTATCTATATATATATATATATATATATAGTTCAAGCTAGTTGCTGCTTGAGTGACAAGTGATGGATATTTGACTGAACAAGATGGACCTCATGCCAAGATGTCACAGTGATCTGTCCACAACTTTACCAGATGTTTTCCTTGAAATGAAAGACAATCTTGCATGGCGACTTGCTATACACCTCCAGCACACTACGAAGATGAAAATCAAAATATTTTTACACATTCAATTACCTAGCAGTCTAGAAATATATTGGACAATAAGTTCAAAAAACAATCACGTCGAATTTCACTACGAAGAACAGAAAAATGGTTGTGATTCACAGCAGGGCATTAGATGCGGCCAACAAGATTGATACACACGAAGAATGAAATGGAAAGCAGTGTGCGATCTGTGTGTATTGAGGATAATCTTGACTACAAGTATCTCAATGTTAATAAAGGTTTGAAGTTGTGATTTGAGCTTTTCTTGTCGTTCTGAAAGAGCTCACTACCTCATTCCACTACACATGCAAACCTCTACTACAAAGACGAGGTCGAATGTCTTTAATTTCTGGGCCGGTATCAATACATGACTGACTATCTCTTATAAATCCTAGAAGAATAATTCTCATCAGGTGAACTCACGAGAGATTCGTCTCCCACGACTGCACTACCAGTCCTCGATGAGACGAATCAATTTTGTTTTTATCTTCCTCAAAAGATGGATGATGCATCTTACTTGGGTAAAACTTCCTCCAAGGATGCACCCTGGTGCTCTGATTTCAGTTTGACCTCTGCATGGTCCCGAAAAAAAAAAAAAAAAAAAAAAAAAAAAAAAAAAAGTGAGCGAGGAACAATTACGATCCCACGTTCAATTTCCAAGCTGACTGCTCACAGTTTTCATAGACTCAACAGCATTTAATGGATCAATTGGATTTCATTACAGGGAGGAAGATCAACGTAAACAGTTTCAGGAAATAATTGAAGCGAAAGAACACATGGATCACTATCCAATCTAAGATGACTTCAACTAACATTCAAAAACAAGTCAAGATACGGCAAGATGCGACTTCTCGCAATTACAGTCTCATCTGTAGAGGAATGGCAAAGTACAGGATGATTCTAAGAAAGAAGAATTTTCAGATGATCTACAGTGACCTGAAAAAAATGAAGAAGGGCATTCAGATTGGCGGATACATTAAGCTGACTCAAGAGCACAAACACAAAACCCTAACCCTAAAGATGAACCAAACGTTAAAAGCAACGCACCGTAATTTCCTCGTTCATTAAGCTTGGCCTGCACGATGTTAACCTTCATAAATTCAACAGCTTCGCGCGCTTTGGTCACCAATTTATCCAACTCCTCACCGGCGCCAACATTCCTGTGCCCCTCAAACTCATCCCGGATCTGCTTAGCCGACGCAGCCAGCATTTCTGAGTCGCCTGCGAAGCACTGCTTCCGCGTTCGCAACAACGACCTGAACAGCGCCAGTACTTCTCCTCTCGCACTTGCCATCTCAATTGCTGGGGCAGGCAGATGGTTGGCGATCTGTGAACCCTAATGCTAAGCAACGGTGTCATCGATTCCTTCTGCACCTGATGTCCTTTGCAGAAGACGACGCCAGTCAAGGTCTGCTGAACCCGGGTAAGAATATCAATCAACAGCTCAACCCACCCAGGAACCACCAAGCTTAGAGTCGACGCCAGTTGAGGTCCGCAATCACCGCAGGTTATCTACCAAATCAACCCACCGCCCCTAACCGGCACTGCAAGCACCGATCATCGCGCACTTCCAATTCTGTTCTGCCACCAGCACGCGATGCGCTGGTCGCGTGCTCCATGACCCCCCCGACTCTGGTCTCTACTGTGCCCCGATTGACAACGACTCCATCAATCAATGCATCCGATCTCTCGGGTAGTAATCGGATCCTGTCGGAGGACCTACGCATTCATTCGGGCGGAGCAAGGCGCACGCGCTTCAACGCCACACCCATGTCACCACCTGCCATCAACTCCACCCTCACTCACATGACTGTCTGTGTGTCTTAGTAGCAGAACCAATCCTGCGTCGAAGCAGATTCCCTTCTGCTCCATCGCATCGCGACAACAGCATACGTCGCCGTTCGGGTCGTCCTCGTTGCCGGTACTCACAGCTCCTGTTCTTCGTGTTTCAGCTCGCAATGCTCCATTGTCAAGTTTGAAGTTCAATTATCTCCCACATGAAGTTATTATTCTCAACGAAATCGAATCGTTGTCGTCGTGATGAACACATACAGCATTTATGGGAGCGGACGTGGTGTTGTTGAGGGGAGCTATGGCGCCGCCACCCCCATCACGCCATAGCCAGCTCTAAAAGCTTGAAAAACTTTTTTTTTACCTCCTTCACACTGTCACTCCTGTTGACAAGTCAATGTCCTTGCTTTCTGTTACTTAGAGCCTTATTTGTTTATTTATTTATAATTTTTGTGATGTCTTTAGTGCATACTGTTTGTATGATACGGATATATCACGTCCACGGACTTTTTTAACAGTTGAATGTATAACAGTTTTGTATCATCCACTCAAGTTTTATGCTGAGAAAATGGAGTAATTGGTAGGCATATGGATTCATGCATTGTATTCTTTATGAAAAAAAAAAAAGAAAAAATATAAAATTCACTGCATTGAATAAGAGGAGTTTTGGAATTTCATATTGAGAATGAAAGCTTCACTATAAGTCTTGTTTATCTTAAATCTATGAGTTGAACATTTTTTATTATTATTATTCAAATGAAGAAAGTAGAATTGATGTTGAATGCGTTACTATTGTTATTATTAGTGTGTAATTCATAATTTCGACATTTGATCAACTTTTGTATCTTTTTATTAGATTAGCGTTGTATCACAGTGGGAGATCACAAAAATTGTACATGTTTATTGTTGACTTTGGAAATGAAGTCTTGTGGTAATTAAACAGTCAAATTAGATCGTGTTTTATTTGCATAATTATTAATGACCATCACAAAAGTACAGGAAAAAAAAAAAAAAAACATACAAGTAAAGAAAAACAAAAGAAGGAATGAGTGACATGTGCTTACAAAAATTGAGTTTTTTTTTTTTTTTAATTTGATTTTTGTTTCTATGGTCTAAAATACTCCTCTAAGTCTAAGTTCTATGTAAATTCATGTATCTGATCAATAGAAAATGATCACTATCTAACTTTGTGGTATTTCTTTGCATTTATTAAAAATATAAAGAAGGTTAGATAATAACTGCAAATTTATATGTGTTTTCTAGGTAAGAAAAAGAAAATCGAAGGATTTTAATGTTTTTGAACCTTCGAAAACTAAAAAGTTATACATGTAAATTTAAATAGTTTTGTTGTAATGCTAAAATTATTTTCTAAAATATCAGAACTAATAGTAATTGCTATATCTTAAAATATAATTTGACGAAATGTTCCATAAACAGAAGTTGATTCTTCGCCGAAGCACACAATAAGTTCAACATCTGCTTGTCTTTTTCCTTCCATGAAGGTAGGTAATGACTTGCAGTCATTTTATATGTTTTTAAATGAGTGTAGATTTCATTGCACTCACAGGAATACAAGTGCAACCAGGGACGAATTCTTTTTTCTACGAAAACCCAGAAGAAAATAATGGTGTTTTATTCAAGAATTACCAAAAACGCACTTTGGTGATGAATTAAACCCCTTCAGCAATCACAATCTAAAAAGGCACCAGTTTCCATTCAATGCCAAAAACTGAACCCTTTGGTCTAATGCAATCCAACAAAATCAAACTTGTATCATACTAGCACAATGAAATATTGTCTTTATTCTTTCACAGGCAAGGATGTGTGTTCTCAATCCATCACCAAAGAGCCACAATCACCCACATCTAATTTCTCTAGAATGTATAGTTGCTAGATAGAGCATGCAGAGGAAGAAGGTGAATTTACACTGCATTACAAGCCCGAATGGGCCAGATTCATTGTGGGTGATGTGGTCAGTGTCAGAAATCATCATCATCGTCGTTGTCAGCTCCACTGCATCATCGTTGCAACGATCAACCGGAACCTGCAGCGAGGGGCACCTCACCTGTGCTGTGCTGTGTAATCTCGCCCAGCTAGCTAGCTAGCTAGCTGCTGAGCTTGGGGAATCACCAGCATTGTTGCCCTCAGCTGTTTGTTCCTCACCAAATCCCCTCTTTTCTGCTGCAGCTCGCTCCTCACACATCACAAGATTCGCTTCGTGTGTCCACTCGCCTCGTTTCATCACTGCCCTCACTCGAGAAGGCTGATGTGAGATGGGTGATGTGAGTTGGGTGGCGTAATTTCCATGCAACGAGATTCTGTTTTATTCAGGGGTTGTCGGAGTGAGCAGGTTGGGGTGTGAGGTAGTGGGGAGAAGGAGTGTCTGCCGTTTTCACGAATAATAGACCATGCGGGGGCGGGATGCTGGTGTAATGTACGCTGCTTGCGGTAGAGCAATCGAGGAGTAAGGCACCGGGGTTCATAGGTTCATGGGTTCATGGTGCTCTGCCGTGCTGCGTGCTGAGACGAGTACGAGTGGGGAAGTCATCCTATCGATCTCACTGGTGATGTCTCACTTATAGACTCTCGAGGGGAACTGTGGGTAGTGTTCACAGTAGAGACTTTTTTCATTGAGCGTACAAGCCACGAGGTACAGGGGTGGTGTTCTCAGACCACAGGCGTTGTTTCAAGCTTCTGGTGCCGTGATTTGCACCTCTCGAGTGCCTGGCCGTTTCTTTGTCTCAAGGTTAGGAGCATCCTGCGTGCTGGACTTGGTCTTATGATTCTTGATGAGTGGGTGAAAGTGGACCTATTGATTTGAGCATACATGCTCTTGTCAAGATGTTGATTGTTTAGTGGATTAGTTCCACCCTCTTACTTTGTTTTCCCGATTGTTCGAGGTGTAGGACCGCGGGTGAGAGAGTATGGGATGCCGCTGAGGCCGTGAGGTGGGTGCTGCCCACTTGCTGAAGTTTGGAATTTCCTTTGAATGGCTACTGGCACAATGGGGTATGAGACTTGTGCGATGGCGACGTTCCTTTCTCTTCTATTGGTGTCGAGCTTAACGCTTTCTGCAGCTCAGATGTCGCCAGCATCCCTGACAGGTGAGACATCTCTCAGCCCAAACAACTACGAATGGTTCTCCCTCTGAGTGAGAATTGAAGTGACAGTGTTGGAATAGAATCAATGTTAGTTGTGTGTGACCATTTAGCCCTCGCTTTGGCAACGTGTGCTGAACACATGTGGCCGAGTGTTCATAACAAAACGGAACACCGGCATCAAACCGAACTTCTTTCCCTTAAGTTATGGCTAAGCTGAAACTTGATGTGTGCAGGCAGCGCTGGCCCTTACACCGTCCGTATTGCCTGTGGTTCGTCTGTTGAAACCTATGATCCAAATGGATATGTGTGGCAGAAGGATTGGGGCTTTACAGGAGGAAGTTCTGCCCCTTTAACTTTCCCTAATCCTAAAGCACCTCAGATCATCACCCTCCGTTACTTTTCTAAGTTTGATGGCCCAGAGAATTGTTACAATATCACAGTACCAACCGGGCGTTATCTGATCAGGTACAACAAACATTTGCTCTCTTCCCTGTGTCCTCCTGCTGCTCTGACCTAGTTCTGAATTTAACCAGTGCTAAATTTAACTCGAAACATCAATTCAGGCAAGTTTGTTCAGTTCAGAAATGAACCACTTCACGCTATCCTTTTCAGGAGTTTGAATGAAGTGTAATAAAGCATTTGAATAGTGGCAGAACGTAAACAACATTGTGAACCAACTGCAGATTGTTCTTTGCGTTCGGGGAACAAGATAACGCTGGTCGTGAGCCACAGTTTGATGTCTCGATCGAAGGGACCCTTGTGCACAATATGGATTCAGGATGGAGTAAAGAGCGCGAAAATTTTCAAGACTCGTTAGCCTTTGTGAGTGATGGAGCTGCTACGATATGTTTCCACAGTTCAGGCCATGGTAATCCAGTCGTGGCCTCTATTGAAGTTCTTCAAATTCTCGATGATGCCTACAAGATCGCCGACCAAGAAAGCCGTAGCTATATCTGGAAGACGATGAAGAGAGTGAGTGCAGGAGCACGAAAGTCTGGCTTTGGGTCTGACTTTTTGGCTGATCCTTGGGGTGGTGATCGCTACTGGGAGAGCGATAACAGCCTTTTTCTTCCGGGATCGATAGTACAATCCATAAGCACCGTGCAGAATATCAGTAACGCTGCTGTAACTCCCAATATATACCCCATGGATATTTTTCAGTCTGCTACAACAACTGACCCTATGCAAAGTCTGTCCTACATTTTACCAGTAGACAATAACAGGTTGTACTCAATCTGGATCTACTTAGCAGAAATTTCGCCTTTTGTGGTACGTCCGCGTGACCGAGTATTTGATGTTCTGGTGAACGAGGAGAAAATCTTTTCAGAGGTGGATATTATCGCCCAGGCTCACAGACCATTCAAAGCATTAATTCTGAATGCCACTGTGATGGTAGACGACGCGAGCTCTCTTGAATTGACCTTTAATCCGCTTTTCGGACCTGTTGCTGTGAACGCCTTTGAAATCTATGAGCTCGTACCGATTGAGGCGCCCACTTTGAAGACAGACAGTAAGATCTCGCTTTGGACTTGAAGACCTGTTTCTTATTTCTAATCCTTAAAGTGTACAGTCTTTCACAACTTCATTTGAATTACAATCAAGCATCAGCGGCTAAGAGTGTTAGACCTAATGTTCCGACATATAGTCGTGATTGTCATGGGTTAGGGACTTTCAGGTGATGCTTCGGTTCTGTATAGGTAATATGTTCCATGTGATTGGAAAGTCATATGCTAGTTACGAAACATGAATTCTTATTTTTTCGGTCGTTACGCAACACATAGTCTTCATCAATCTGAATGTAGGACGTGTCAGACTTGTATCAATGAAGAGCAATGGTATAAGCTTTTCAGTGTCTAACCCACTATGGATTTCGTAAACCGGTGGGTTGTAGTGTGGGCAATGCAGCTGCTGAAGCAATCTCTCAGATTACCTGCGACGTATGGGTGGAACGGGGACCCTTGCGTGCCCCTTGCACACATTTGGTTTGGAGTAGACTGCCGTTTCAATAATTCTGCGACTTCCTGGTTCATCGACGGCTTGTACGTTCCCATAAATTTCGAATGTTGTCCGCTCACTAACATGATATATTCAGTCTGCATTATAGCGTTTGTCATTGTAACGAAATCCCAAACATGGTGACTTTGAATCATAATCATGGAGTGAAAAACGAATGGCAGTTTATTCACCTTTGCAAGTTGCAGTAACCTACCCCTTCTTTGCCATGAAAGATATCTCATGACTGCTGTACAGATACTTGGACGCTCAAGGAGTGCGTGGTGTTCTAGGAGAGGAGATTGGATTATTGTCTGGTCTCCAAATTCTGTGCGTCCTCTAATCATCTTCCCTTGTAACAATCATCGTTTTGTTTCTGTGCAGACAACATGAGAGTGATCTTGATGATCATGTTTTAAATGTATCTATAAATGTTGAAGTGGTTTCGAATTTCTATTATGGGTAAAACTTGGCGGAAAGGCACTTATTTAATTTTCGGCATCTGTAACAGGAACATAAGCCATAACACGCTGCAAGGATCCATTCCGCAGTCCATGGGCAATCTCTCATCCCTTGTAGTATTGTAAGTCTCATGAAAATATTGCTCGCCCGGTTAACGTCAAAGCCGACGTTTGAAGCAATTGCTTTTGTGCAGTTTCCGTAAAAGGGAGAGTTGTTTCATTGACCCAGCTACAATAGAATTGGTAATATTGAATTTGACTCTTTCTGAGCATCTGCACAGGGATCTCTCGTACAATCAGCTAAATAGTTCAATACCTGTGAACCTTGGCAACCTTCCTCACCTCCGAAAATTGTAAGCGATACGGTTCCTTGTAGATTCACGAACTCCTTTCCTTGAAGTCAGCCACGATCTTATCAACAGGGTCCATAGTCTGCAAGATACTTCTTGCTCTTCATATTCTCTGTTTATTCTGATACACCAGCATCTTCTGCTAGGTTCTTGAACGACAATCAATTGAGCGGAGAGGTTCCTTCAAGTCTTGGAGCAAGTGCCCTACGGGGTGCTATTCGGAAGTATATATATATATATCTCTCTCTCTCTCTCTCTCTCTCTCTCTCGGATTTCTTTTGTGAGATACAGATTACAATCTGAATTGCCCACTTTATAAAGTCCTTCAATACCGCTTAACAAGATAATGAAGGAACAATAATTTTTTCGCTTACCTGAGTAACCTCATTGTTACTTCGAATATTAGTTTGACCAAGTCACATTCTGCAGCGTGTCCAATAACGAGGGGCTTTGCGGAGTGGGACTGAGGCCATGCAGTCAAGCTAACAGTGGGGGCAAAGCTGTGCGGATCACTGCCTTTGTTGTGAGTCTGGTGATAGTGCTGACCGCTGGGCTTGTTTTCCTTTACTGGAAGAAGAGGGCAAACATGGCCCGAGCACAAAAGCTCGGTAAGTGGCCCAATCTGAACTACGTCAGAAGTTTGTAAATTATGATAAAACTTGGTCCAAGGAACAGCTGATATTTTGTGGTGTCTTTTCTGTCGATTTTAACATAACCCCAATGGAACAGATCATGTGAGAGGGAGTTGGATAACAAATAGCTGAAATAAATTACAGTATTCCAGTTTGATATTTTTCAGATATGCTGATGATTCCCCTGTTTGCCCTATTCGTTGCAGCCAGAGGTGCACCCTATGCTAAAGCAAGAACAACATTTGTGAGAGATGTGCAAATGGCAAGGACGATGTTTACTGATCATTTCAGACCTGCTCATATTCGAGATCCGGCCTTTGCACCAATTCCAAGCCAAAGCAGTACTCTACTGGGATCAACGTAATGACTGCGTTGGTAGACATTTCAGTCTAGTCCTACGTTCCTCTTAATTTGTGTTGAATTGGGGGTTTAGGGTGATACATTTTTAGCTTACTATCCCATATTAACAGGTGCTTGTTTCCACAGTTTGTACATTAATGGATCTTCGCATCAGAGAATCAAAGACAGGGTGAACCAATGCATTTGCATATTGCAGCTCATATCCCATAATCTCAAAGACCGACAAATGACCGCTGTGTATGAGGTTCAATGTTTGACTTGAATGGTTCGTGTTGAGTCCTATCGATGATGGCAAGCAGCTTGCAGTTGCTATGGTCTATTCATCACCATCAGAATGTAGTAGCACAACTAGACAATGTCACTTAACTGTTCTGTTGCTGTGCATCTTGCATTTATGAAAATATGTACGCATGATTCAATTGACCATAAATTGAGTTAAGAAAGAGGATAATTTTTTAAATGGGTTTTCGTTGATAATTTATTTTTTCAAGTGAGATGCTTTTTACGAAGTCTCATTTTAGAATTTAATCTAGTGCAGGGACTACATAGAGTCGGATTATATCAGAAACATATGAAGTGGAAGCTATTGGGAGAACTAGCTTATATTGCATCATCTATGACGTCGGCTTCTTACCAATGCACATGGCTTGTAGATTTATCACTTTTAATTTCTTCTCATATACCCTTCAGAAGTATAAATAGCAAAAACGAACTCAGGAAAATTATTAAAAGATTGGATTCAGTGGTGACAACATGATTACCAAATATGCTGATGATTTCTAAAAACTAGGGTTTTTACACTTTAATCTACATGGACATTCTCATTTAATGTATGCCCAAAATGTTATAATTTCTTTCTCTTTTTCTTCTTTATTATCAAATACAGATTTTGTGGCCAATAATTTATGCATCCATTTCTCTTCATATGAAAATATGATCGTTTTCTTTTGCTGTTTCCTAATTTTACAAAATCAAATAATTATGCTTTAAACGTATTGCCACTTTATTTTAATAATTCTAGATTTGAAATTAACAAAATAAAAAACTTATATCATGATTTGATGAATTGAAAATAATTTCAACAGAATTGCCAATATATATTTTACAGAATGTTATTCATATTTTATTTTTTATAAAAAAAATAGGGTTTAATATTTTTTTAAATCAACAATTCATGCATTAATTTTTAATTCTTAATTTTTCAAAAAAAGCTCAATATTTTAGAAGTTGTAATGAAATAATATATTTTGAGCCCCATGATGGATTGATCAAATACTTCTTGAAAATGACAACTCAACTAATTTATCTTGATAAAAGATCAATTGGGTGTAGAATTAATTTGTGTATTAGTAAGAGAGCAACAAAGCATCTTCTTGAAACATTAGTAGATAATTGTATTGATGTTTTGCTCAAACTCCTCAAATACAATCTATTATGATATTTAGGTCAAATATTCCCTTTTGCACTTTTAGAAAATTATAAATAATATTTTATATTTTAATATGTGTTTATAATCCTAGTAATTTTTAATATAACTCAAATAACAATATAACACCTATGCACAAAACACCACCAACACAAACCACACAAAGTATTTCATGCACTTCCAATTGTAATGATTCATAGTTATCTTTGTCAAATAATGATATCACACACATTTAAAATCCCATTATTTAAATAAATAATTAAAGTAACAGAAAAAAAGAAATCGGAAAGTTTTTTTATTTTTTATTTTTAAAATTTAAAACTAACATTTTCTTTTATGAGGAAGGCACCACAAAGACGTGCAAAACAAGGCTGAAACCCTGACGTGGGATGAATGAAAGAGCAGCGAGGAGGAAGCCACGGGGACCCATTCCCGAGATGGGGGGGGGTCCAACACCGCAGAACCTACGCGCCGTTGAAGGAGGGAACGGCCACGATTCCGTCTCGCTCCTGCTTCGACGCTCTGGGATCGGCATGAGCCGGAACTTGGACCCAGGGATGCCTCCGAGGACAACACCACCCTCGCACGACCCCATTCCCCCTTCCATCGATTTATTGCTACGACCTCTGCTTGCCCCCGCTCCTCTCCGAAGCAGCAGCAGCATTTCTCTTCATCTTCTTCTTCCTCCTCCTCCTCCTCCTCCGCAGCAGCCATGGCAGCTCTTGCACGCCTTCGTGCCCCCACTCTCCTCCGCTGGGTTTGTCTCTTGCACTCTGCCCTCCCCCATCTACCATTTTGGGTTTCTTCTGGCATTCTGTGTTGGAGTTTTAGGTTGGGAGGCTGTTGTGGAATTGGATTGTGGAGTATACGGTTTGTCTTCAAGTGGAATGGCATGATTTTATTTTTTGCTTAGTTGCCGATCGGACGATGTGCTTTGCCTTGGTGGTTTTTTGGGGGTTGAATGAGGTTGTTAGGGTTATCTGTATTTTGGAATTTGGTTGAAATGTGGAGATATTAGTGAGAGGGTAGTGGGTTAGTTTCAGATCGGGAGTTAGGGTGGAATTCTGGTTTTGATCAGTATTTTGGGTTTTTAGCGCTCCCATGGATTTAGGGTTGATGTTTTTGTAAGTCGGTTGTGTTGGGTATTTCAGGTGCGAAGCGCGAGCGCAGATGGTTCCATTTTCATCCGGTCAATGAATGCTGCCGCCGGCAAGCCAGCTGCTGAAGCCGGAGGTATGTGCAGAATCTATGAGTATTTGGGAGTTTGTATTGTAGTGAATGGCGGAAAGCTGTTGTAATTGACAGGCTTTGGAAGCTTAGAGCTTAATGCTGGTCGGCGCATTATTCTGTGATATGATAACTGGAGGATTTAATTGTGCTGCCCATGAGCCAACATACTGCCGCTTCGGTGTACTATGGGAAAAATTTGACGCCCATCATAGTGCTGAGACTTGTTCGTTGCTTTTGTTTTTCAAGATGATGTTGTGAAGGCGGTGTTCCAACGGCAGCAGAAGAATTTCAGAGCTTATTTGGACGAGATTTCGAAGTCGAAGTTGGACCTGGACGCCAATAGTGAAGCTGCTGTGAAGGCCTACTTCGACACTCAGGTTAAAATCAGGACTGGGTAAGATTTTGTCCCCATCGTTGAACTTGTCTTTTGATCTTTATTATTGATGGCAGTTAGCTACCAGTCGTTGATTTCCTCACGTATGACAGAAGCATAATTATGGTATTAGTTATTTATGAGCATATTTTAATGGATGAAATGTAATCACTTTACAAGAACATGTTTTTGTTCAGATGAAATATGAAAAGATCATGGTTTCCTGGTCTGGTTGTTTAGTTGGTGGATGCAAATTGAACATCACTACATGTTGCTTCATTGAAATTTCAGAGTGTGGAGAATGGTTGGTTTTTTGTGCTTAACACAGCGTTCTCACTGTAGTCGTTAATTTTTGGCTCTCAGCCTTGGTATTCCCTCGTACACCCAAAAGATTTCTGAACTTTTGGAAGGAGCTGCTGAAGAGGCACCTGATGTCCGTACATTCTTGAACATCCACAGCAGCCTGCGCCGCGAGTATGTGACATTCACCTTTGGGCTTAAGTTATTGCTGCCTTTGCCCCCTTTTCGGTCTTTGCTGTGAATGATATGATGCACATGTCTTCAACTTCCTGGACTTCCTGGTGTGCTGTTTTCTTGTGCTGAGTTATCAACTGCAGTATCTTCGTTCACGATATGTCCGTTCAAATATCGTCTTTTATGGGGTAATATGATAGCGTTCACCTATGATTGAATTTGTGAGTCGTATGCTTCCAGGGTTGGAATTGAAGATGATTCGGGGGCTGATGCTTTGATGTTGGAGGCTCTGGATAAGGTGGAAAAGAGCATTGGTAAAACCCTCGTGAAAGATGATGCCAACGGCATGTCTGCTTGGAAGAAAGAACTTGATCAGGTCAACCAAAAGTAAGTAAGTTCTATTATTGGATTAGTCAATCATTTGAAGAGCTTGTGTTGTGAAGGATTTGTTCTCTGCGTGATGGATTTTGGATATGACAAGGCTTTTTATTTCAGTTTTCTCCGAATTCTCTTGATTTCAAGTTCTCTTGATCAGCATTACAAGTGCTGATTTTTGAAGCATATTAGTTTTTATCGTGCAACTCAATCTCACTTAGCTTGGTGTTTGATTTGAAGTTCGTGTTTTCTCTGTTTTCACATTTCCTAATCGCCTTTAATTTTACTGTAGGCTTGGGATTGATGATGCTATGCTGGAGAAGTTGGAGGAGGAAGCTGAATACGCAGCAGCCAAGGCCGAGTTGGAGGAATTGCGAAACACAGCAATGGATAGGATTGACACCTATAAGCGCAGGTGAGATTGTGAACCATGTGCAAGTGGTTTAGTAAGCTTCAAACTTCAGTAATAGTGTTTAAAACGTATCTGTATCGTATGCACCTGATTGTCCTATCTTCATGCAGTTATTAGTATATGATTATCAACACAACTTACTCATCTGTCTTATCTTTTTTATGATGTTTCCTCCCTGAGATATGATGATTCATCGTCAGTGAAACGGATTGTCTACTGTGAAGTTGACATTTTTAATGATTCGCTGACCCTGAAATGCCACCTTCCAATTTTGCCTGGATCCACTAATTCTATCCCAACGGGCAAATATTTTGTAGGGACGAATTGACCATTGAGGTTGACCCAAAGGAGCTTGACCACCGCAACTATCTCTGAAGAATCGTAGCAATCTTTTTGCTGGGCTTTAAGTCTGGTAACGTCGAAATCTTGGCTAAAAGAACATCCTGTTTCAATCAGTTTTTATGGCATTGTTGCCCAATTGTTGAGTGCACCTTGGTGCCCAGTTTTATTGGTGAGGAAACTATCATGAGAGAATGGGAAGGCCTGTAGATATGGCCACGTATCTATGGTGGTGTGAACTACAGTTGCGAAGGTCTTTTCCGATACGTTGTCACAACCAATAACGTGTCATTTTTACTGGATAGACTACCCACGAGGTATGAGAACTTCAAATAACAGATTCTTCTTTTGGGATTCGTCTTTCACCCTTTTCTAAGCTTGTTTTCTTGGATTCTAGAGTTCTAATTATACGCAGTTGAAACGTATGAACTGCTGTAGTGTCAAGTGTTTGGCAAATAAGCACACAGTCCCTATTCCAAAGTGATCGTGTTGGGTTCTTCGTTCTATTTTGAGTCTGAGTACTTAATTCTTCGTACCAGTAGTTGACTCCGATAATACCCAATTAATTGCTTGACAACTCTGGTGTTGCTTTTACCATTAATTACTAATGGAACTAAAATTCCCAGTAAGCTTTTCATACTGGAACTGGTTCGAAGTGGATGTCTTTTATGAGGACTTCGTTTGTCCGAGTGGGAAGTACTGAGACTATGAGTTGACATCCTCACCTTATATCTAAAACTAACATGCTATATTCTGATATGTACATCTTTGTAATTCCGAAAACGACGAGGTCATTCTTAAATATTTATTTCTTTGAAATTAGTATAGTATTAGAGAAGGCTGTGATTGATGATAGGATTGGGTGTGCAACACTAAACGTTGTGAGATACTCTTGAGTTGAGTGGAAGAGAAGTGCCTAATAACACTTCTATTCTATTCTGTAATACTTCTATTCAGGTGTATTTAAAAGTAATGAAACATATAAATAAACACTCAAGTGTTTGAAACTTTCAAAACACCGAAACCAATTACATGGATTACATGGAAAAGATAATGTTAGATGTCGTCAATTTATTGAATTTTAATGCTTTAGTGAAAGAACAAATAATCGTGGTGTTAAAATTATTAATTATTTTTTAAATCTACCTTTTCAGTACATGTAAAGAAATCAAATGATTGTAGAAATCTACTTAAACAGGGTTACCACGACTTGTAAAACAGAGTGGCATGATGGAATAATTTACAAGTTCCGATCAATTTGATTACGAAAGAAGTGTAATTCGTAAAACTTTGTGTTTATAGTTGAATAATCTGTCAAACAGTAATCTTCATGAAAGTGATACATGTACAATTTTGGTTTTTTCAATGACACTAAAATACTTTACAACCACATTTTGATTATTTTGGAGTATTATAAAAAACTCTGTAATAAATTTGGGAATACAATCATTACGATTTACATTTTGATTCTGCTCTTTTTAAATTTAAGATCAATACAATAATTTTTGTAAATCACTACTTTGAATTTTTGTTAATATTGAACTAACCAAGAATAAATATAATTCATTTATCAATCGACAATGAGTGAATTACAATATCTACAGCCAATCAATGAAGTTCTGTAGTTCCCAATTATGGTTTAAATTAAAATTCTTTTGGGTTAACTTTTTGAATTTTCTCAATTTATCAATAAATTATATGTATATATGTATATATATACACACATAGAGTGGGAATGGCTAATGTCACCACAATTTTTTCTATTGTCACTGCACATGCTATCTACCACAAGTTATTCACACCCTTTGTCAATGCTAAATTAGTTATTATTTTTTAGATTTATTTATATATATTTTTATATTTTATCTTTTTATTTTTATTTTTATAAATAAGTGCTTGTTTCTTTACTATAAGTTTTAGTGTAAAATTTTAAAACCTATTTAGATAGATTTTCAATTATTTTTTTATTAAATCAATTTTTTTCATACTTATAAACTCCTGTTTACATTCATATTTTAAAAAAAAATTGGAAACATCTAGTTCAGACTTCAAATAGATTTATTTAATACATCCCATTTAAGAAACGCTTCATACAAATTTTTGAGAACTCTAAGTAATACATTTCCATTTTGGAGACAAGCTGTCTCCAACTAGCCCTGTAGTTTAGAAGAGAGAAATCAAATCCTGACAAACTAAGTGACTTATTCATGTGCTTGTCACATATCTCTCAGGCAAATTTCACCATTCTTTACACACATGATTTGTCCCCTCCCCCACTTGGCACATCAACAAAACCCACACAACAGTAAAAGGGCAGTTGGATATCCATGGGTGGGGGGAGGGGGGGATGTGCACTCTTGCAGGCACACACCTTGGGAGTTGCTCCCAGGGTACGTGGAAAAGCCTCCCAATAGCAGTGGCAGCAGCAGAGGGCAGGAGCAGCAAGACATGTGTGAAGGTGGAGTCCCCCACATGGACACACAAGTGGGAAACCCCCCTCCCCCCTTCTGACCAGAAGATCTGCTCCAGCATACACTCATGTGTGGGAGTGAGTGCAAGAGCAAGAGAGATTGGCAATGTTGCCACAGTGGCAGAACTGTAGCATTGACCATGTGTATGGTGTGTGTGTGTGGGGAGGGGGGGGCTTCGACTAAGAGTGGTGGAGCTCTTCCTTTTTGGAGAGAGGACCTTCCAAATCTCAGTTCTCCTGCTTCACTACTGTGGTCGTCAGCTGGGTGCCTGAATCCAAAGGTCTTAAAGCACCCAAGACCGTGTGTTAAAAGCAAGATCTATTTTCTCTTTCTGAAAGTTACAATAAACCCAAGGAGAGAAAATTCTGTCTACAATGCTCTGATGAGCCAACTAATTTCATCCCTGACTGCACTTCAATTGAATGTAGTGGTTATATTTTAAGAAAATAGGAATGAGTTGAAAAAAATTAATAGCAATAAGAATGAAAGTGCAGTATTGGGAATTATGTTAAAGCTTGGTATTTGTGGCAGGTTTGGTTGTTTTTTTTATTAATTAATTAATTAATTAAATGTTTTTTTTACCATGTCTGGCAAGTGTGTGTGTATGTGGTAGAGATGTAGCCAGAAGCATTGAATTCCAGGTCCATGTCAAAACTTGGCTTCAAGAGATGATCAGATCAGTAGTAAATGAGTCTGTCTGGTAACACATGGGGTTTCATTAATATCACTTGGGGATTAAAAAATTTGTCTTCTTAGTGCTCCAGAAGTTTCTTTATCTATTTCTGTTTATTTTTTTATTTGACATGTTTCTCAATGAGAGATTCAATAGGACTAGGAGTAGTTACCTGATATTTTTCCATGCTAGGGTGAAGGCAGTTTAATGTTGGAAGTATGGGTGTTAGTGAGAGGCAACACATGTTTTTAATACTTATCATAACATGACTTACAATACTTTGACCATGCAGGTTCCAAATGATATTTTCTTGCAAGGGTCTGCAGATGAAAACTATATAGAATTTCTCACCAGTGGACTTTTCATCATCACCAAGACAACCAAGACCTTAAAAATTCCAGGACTTCAGGATGCCCTGTTGAATTGCTGTGTCATGTGGTAAAATCCCAGCACACATGTTCTTTGGAAAGCCTAGGAAGTATATGAGGATGCTAGACAACCTCCAACTTGCTGCCTCCCTCTCTGGCTGAAGCATACTTTTGGGAGATGTTTCTTATAGAGTAGGATCTAAATGAACTCATAATAACTCACTTCCTATATCTTAATTTCTGCTCAGACCATCGGTAACCATGCATTTTACTCCGTGGGTTAATTTGTAGCCGTTGGGGGTGTCAGAGGGCGTTGGTAATTTAGCAATCTTGGAGCAAAAAGCTCGTCTTCCTGTGAGGAACAAAGAACAGATAATCAATCTCTCTGTGTTTCAAACGTTCACTGGAACGTGTGATTACCCAAAGATTAACTTGCCTCAACGGGAGTCTGGAGGTTTAGGGGAAAATCTCTTCACCTTAGTCTTCGAGCAAGTTAACGTGGGGATGGGAATCCTAGATGAATATACTGGCAGCGCGTCGTACGACGAGGTCAGGAGACTTATGATTAATGCGGTAATTCCAGGGACACTTGTGTAGTTCTCCGATGTCAATGCAGGGGGAGCCAATTATGACTAGTGACCAGTGAATGAGCCGGAAGCACCGCGAGCATTGTACATATGCACTTGTTGCTTGCCGAAGGGGCTTCCTGATTTGCATCTGCTCTCGAGGTTCCACTTGCTTCACCATATAGTGTCATTGTGTCAGGGTGGTGGTGATGAGCGTTGCCTACACGTTGTACATCACACCTCAGTACTGGAGCTCGTGAGTTGACTCCGGACCTGATCTTCTTCATCTTGGCAGCCTGGAGTGTGACGGTTTCCCCTTGTCGTCACCTTCACGTAGTCGGTTTTTTCCTGAAGTTGTGAACGGGGACTAGGAGCTCTTGGCACTGGTCTAGCAAACATCGTAGGTAAGGTTTCTGTGTGTTATGAGATTTCTCGAAGATCTTGCGGACCCTCGAATTCGTCTTTTGAAGTTTAGAACTTTCTGTGAATGTGTGTTTTGGGATTCAGCATCACTGATGATGCTAGTCTCTGCAGGAGTTTCAGCAGTGGGTTACGCTGAGCACATGATAAACTGATTTGTGCTACCTATGACTCAGATCAAATGGCGTGGGGAGGAGAGACTGAAATGATATTGGTGTTCAAGAATGGCCAATCAATTTATATCTCAGCGGTAAAGCAATGAATATGGAGTGAGAACTCGAGGCTTAATCCGGAGGGACATATAATATAATAAAATGAGCTAGATCAGAAGTGAGTCTGCTAAAGACGGCTGCATTTTCAGAGTACGCACAGGGACATGGGCGCTCTCCCTCGTCTATCTGATGGAGCACTTGGCACTCCACAGAGTGGTTACTGGAAGTCTGGAATTGTGCCAAGGAAAAAGCACGAGGATGACGTGAGTCCAAAATCTGTGATTACAGACATCCGCTTCATTAGTCCAGCATCCTCCTCATCTGGCAGCATGGATCGACCACTGTCGGAGGCAATACCAGTCAAACTGCAGCCGACTCGCCATGACCGAGGTTACTCAATATCTGATGGAGAATGTAGCGACCAAGAGACGTCGATAGAATCTTCTCGTGAGCTTAATAAGGTATGTTTTCGTCTCATAAGTTCTATTGGTAGCAGATTTCAGGCCTCCGTAGAAGGATTGCACCCAATTTTGCAATAATGTGCCACAGATGACCGATCGCAACAGCTCTAAAGTTTTCTATGTTGCTCCTATTCTCAGGTTTATGCTATCTCTGGATCATTGGAGTCATTGCCGGAGACGCATTCTTTAACATTGAAAGCCACAAGAACCAATATCTGCAGAGATGGGAGTTCCAAAGGCATGCTGTACAAAACAGCTGCATTGCTTCCTACCATTGAAGATAAATATCAAGTACAACATAAGAAAAGACCTTACCAGACGGCCACATCGAGTTACAATACTCCGGCGCATGATGCCTTGCTCATTTCTTCTACTGACATTCACTCCACGTCAGGAAGATTGCGGTTAAATTCTCAAAGCGGTCTTTCATCACAAGACTCTTCGATCCTAAGCAAGTGCGATGAGGAGAACAGAGGCAGCTCAACAACTCGTAGCCCTGTTGATTACCCGGGAACTCCCGTCCGCTTCTTTCCAGTTTGTCAAACGCAGTTGGGAAGTTCCAGGGGAAATCATATCCTTGCTGGAAGCCCCGGCATTGAGAAGTTCGTCGGATCACATAGCCCTGCAAGCTTGGCAGAACAGTTGGGCAGAGGCATCTCTTTTCAGCACAGGTTTATGTCGGGCCCTCTTAGTGGTGGCATTAGTCCCAAACCTCCACCGTCGAAGTGGGACGATGCAGAGAAATGGATTGTCAGTCCTAGTCGTCATGAGACTGCCTCACCTCAACCTCAGCCTCATCGATCTGTGTATGCTCTCCCAGTAGGTGTGTATTTGTGAAAGCAACTCTCGTTCTTGCAATTTTTCTTGCTTCTAAGAGTATAACCCATCCGCAGCTCTTCCTCTAAGCGCATCCTTTTATTTCAGTAAGTGATCGCGCGGTCGTCGAAGATAATTGACGATAGAATCATTGTCGCGAGCTTTGACAGGTCGAAGGCACTCAATCAGCGGCCATTGTCATAGACCTAACTTTGGAGCAGGCAGCCCTGAATTTTCAGCTTCGAACGCGGATGAGAAGCCATTGGCCCCTTCTTTCGAGAAGACTGATGATAGACCTGAGAACCAACCACGCAGTGCTTCCAACAAGAAGCGAGCGAAAGCTCTCTCATTTGGCGATCTGTCAAAACGAGTTTTTGACATTTCTTGTCCCGATGCATGCGAAACGTCGAGTAGCCCCTCAAGATTCGATGGACGTGTGACACATATTGAGGAGTCCTCTAGGAATATCTCTCAAGATATCAGCTATGAGACTCCAAACGATGGAATGATAGAGCTCGACAGGAAACAAGAATCAGCTAATCAAATTCCAACGACACAATTAAGAGGATGCGGAATCTCCAAGTGTCTTGAGGATGGCAGTTCGAAGCCGCCAGGAACTGCAAGATGCATAGGTACAACTGCCTCATTAACTTTGTGCAATTCAGTATGCTTTTCAATCACCCTGATCCTCGCGCCTAGTGCATGATATTTTATTCATTTTGATTGCTATTTTATTCACATTGTAGAATTAAGATCATTATTTCAAAAAGTGCCTCGAACTACACACAAATGATCTGAAATGACCATCACATGTGTCATTCAGATAAGCCTATGGACATGGAGATTTTAAAGCACGCACTGACGGTATCGATGGAAGAAACCAACTCCACTGAATTGCAAGCATCATGCACTGCCGACCCTCGTCCAGGGCAAAGCTGGAATTTCGATGCACGAACGTCAGCAGCTGGGAGCCAGAAAAACTCAACTTGTGTAACTCCAGCAATCGCTGCTTCACCCACGCGACACAATACTCCAGCTCGGTCTAGAAGGCGTCCAGCTTCGCCGGGATCGACCCTTGCCGGAGCTGGAGCGCTCGAATTACAGACATGCCACTTGGCGAAATTAGAATTCTGCAAATTAGGAGATGAGGATAGAAATGTCACTACCTGGAGCACTCGACAAGAGGAAGATATGGAGTGCTCTGTCAGCTTAAGGGATCACGATTCAGGAGTATTGGACAGAGAATTCATAGATGATTATGCAGCAGCATGGGAAGAACCAACTAACCAGACGAAACACAACGGAAGGTATGTTTGTTAAAATTTCGATTGAAGAGATATGGAGCTATAATTTGCAGTAGATATTGATACAACATCGATTGACTTTCCTGCCCAGGTGCGAAAAGGAGGAGGCCAGAATCAGAGCATGGGAGGAGCTCCAAACTTCCAAGGCTGAAGCGGAGATGCAGAAACTAGAGGTTAGTGCTGCATCACAATTCCTTTGCATTGAAATGCAATATCTCTTAGTTACAACGTCGTAACGTCTAATTCCAGAACAAATCACGTACCGATTCACCTGTTTCCGCTCACCAAACAAATAACTCGCAATCTTATTCTACAAGCTACAGATGAAAATTGAGAAAATGCGAATACGCGCTCACGAGAAGCTGACGAACCGAATAGCTCTCGCAAGGAAGAAGGCCAAGGAAATGAGAGCCTCTGCTCACACCACAACGCCAAACCAGTCCACCAAATCCACGCAGCAACCTGAGCACAATCGTATCACTGGCCAGATCCCTTCGATCACGAAGTCTCCCTTCACGTGCTGCTTCAAGGCGTAGCGGGTGCTCCAAGCTTTTTATTCACTGCCCCGGCCGTCACGATACAGACGCATGGTTTGACACTCCTTGCTGCGTAGCGACATCGAATTGTCATCGCAGATTTTCCTATGCGACCTCCACTATTTTGAAGCTGTAATCAGCTACAGTCGATCCCCTTCCTGAAGTGCTGCAGAATTGCTGCAAAGTTAACCACCCATCAGAGAAACATATCAAACGGCACTCCAAAACACCTGCGAAGACCTGCAAAGGTGCACCTGGAGCATGATCCAAGCCTTCGAGACAAATTGTGGGCAATCCCGAAAAATTCATGGTTGCTTTTTTTGTGTGTGTGGGCCTCTCCCGGCATAGCTCGCATCACTGTCATCCTTCCTCCATCCCAACTACTACTCCTTGTTGCAAACACTCCAATTTCGTAAATAAAAGCTTTTAAATCCTTCCATTCTACATGATGACATCGACTATGTTCCTGACCAATGACAGTGGGTAAATTCTCGACATGAATTTACTCCACTGTGACATTAAATTTGTTTCTAAGATGTTCAAATTTATGGCTCTCATGAAGAATTTGTAAGACGAAATTGGCTTCAGATGAGTTGAAACTATTCATGTATTGTGTAAGGACCTTTTCTATCCATGCACTTATATCATGTTATTCTACAAAAACAGACATATTTTTAAAACAATGTTAAATTTAGTAATGCTTTTTGTAAAATCAGAATTTAATCACAATCATTTGTTCAAAAAGAATAATCTACACCTTGTTTCTTCTTTTGAATGTTCATATGTTCCTACTTAAAACAACAAATAAGATCTAGATATTATCATGACCGTCAAAAGATTTCTACAATCACATAAGAAGAGTGATATTTTTGTTATTTTATCTTTATTTTATTTGACTTTCGACCCAAAAACAGGTTGTATCCTATACAATAATGAAGTGGAAAAATTATAATAGACTTAACATTTAATATCCAAAGGTGGAGTTAAGAATACTAAGAATGTAGAAGAACTATTACAACAAGTTCATTTATACTTGTGTTTATGGTCATACCACACAAAAGTATTTTAGAATTTTATTCAATTACTTTGTCATTTTTAGATCCAAATATGTATTTTTCCATCTATAAATTATCCCATTTCTTGGATAGAAAAGACTCATATTGCGGATGTATTATTAAAAAAAGAAATCACAAATTTTCAATAAATTTGTCTATATTTAATAAGAGCTTTTTAAACCATGGTTCTAATATAGAGTATACTTCATGATTCATTTTCAAAGAAAAATTTGTTTCTCAAAATATTCTTTAGACAAAATTGCTTAGCAAGGATCAAATCTAATAAAACTATTTGAATCTAGAGAAAAGAGTTACCAAGTGAAGGATTTCCAAAGATCTAAATTTTAAGAATTGGAGGCTAATTTATATAATAGGGAAGTGGCCTAATTCGAAATATAATGGGCTTGATTTCGATTTCAAAACTAATAGAAAATAGATTCAGGTATTTGGAGATAACACATAACAAAATGAACATCAATGTTATTGCTAATTTTGTCCCTCTAAGTATTCACTATGTCTAATTTGTGCCATATAAGCCAAATGAATATAACATCTTTACAAAAAAGGTGGTTGGATTAAGTGTCTTTCTAATTAAGTAAAAAGTCTTGATTAAAGAAAATATTCTATTTGCATACCATTAAAATAGTGTAAAGGCTTTTGATTTGAAATATCTTACTATTAAGTTTAATAGAGTATATCATAAATTCTACTTTAATAATTTATAAATATAATAGAAGATCAAATGTCAAATCACTCACTAGACCATTGAAGAAATTAACACCACTGGTTTATTTTCTAGTTAATTAGTTTTTATGAAACAACTCTACTAATTTTTAAAAGCCAACTTCTTACTTTTCATTGTCTTTTAAGTCTTGTTCACACAAAATTTTATTATTAAAATAAAGAATTTTAAATTAAACGCCTAATCATTTTTTTTTTTTTTTTTTTTTTTTTTAAATAGAACAAGATAAACTAAACCATTTGTTTTCTTCAACACCAATATATTCTAAAGAGAGTTAAAATACTACTACAAGGAGATGATGTAACTATAATTTTTATAAATCAATTCAATTATTTATTTTTAGAAGGATATTATTATAATGTAATATTTGTTTTTGAATGATTCAAAAATAAATATGAAAGAAGTTCTAAATAGTGATACAAAATAGAAAAAATATAATTTATAGATATTACTTTTTCTATAGTGAAATAAATCAATGGCCCTTCAAAGAGATTTTTGACATATTAAAGATTATTTGAAATAAAAATTTTAGCTTGATGGGATTATAAATGAATATTAATAAATATAAAGTAAGGATTCTATTATATGAAAGAATTCTATATATTATAAAAAGAAATAAGAGGATTGAAGCAAAAGAATTTATTCATATATATCTGTATTTTTTCTAATTTTATTCCATATTTTAGATCTAGTATTCTACTTATGATTTAGAATGAGTGACCATATATGATTTGATATTTAATTTTCATAATCAATAGAGATTGTATTGGTCATTTTAAATCTAAAAAATTATTGAATATTTGCATTGTGTATTGCAATCATAAAGATTCAAAAAATAAGATAAATTAACAAATTTAGTATCATGGATATCTTAAGGTAAAAATAAATAGTATATTTTAGCAAAAATTATATAGAAAAAGTAGTTATTGATACTTAAAAAAGACTAATTATGAACATGGATTAAAATCACATCCTTATGGCCAAGCTAGAGCTCTTTTATTGATTTGAGAGTGGAATTCAAGAGCAAACAAGAGAGAGGTTCTTTAGGTGTTAGTTTTGAGTGATTTAAATTTATAATGACTTTGTAAAAGCTTTTCAAAGTCAAGGTTGTTTTGGAATGACTTTAGTTTTTGAGAATATAAAAAAGAATTTATACTTTGGAGCATTTGTAAGATTTGTGGTAGATCTATGGATGTAAATATATGGATTTGTGATCATAGTTGTATTAACTATACTTTGTAAGTTTGAGCTTAATCAAAAAATTGATTTTAAGGTGATTAAAACTCAAGTAGATTGGAATTTCAGAAATTAGAGTTAAAGAATCACTGAGGATTTCTAAGATTTGCAACAATCCACTTGTTGGATTAAAGAATAATTTGATATATTAATAGAAAAATTAAAATTTAAAAATTATAAAATATTTAAAAATAATTAAATAGTGAAATGAAGAGATATTGGTGCTAAGAAATCATCTTTAAGGTTGAAAAAAGAGGCTAGCCAATATCCAAGTGGATTAAGATCTTTATTTCCTATTTGATAAGTTTAATCTTTTTCAAATTTGTTGTATTTATTTTAAAGTAAGAAATTAAAAGATGAGAAACTTTTTAGTAAAATTCAATAATTAAATTATTATTTACTAATGTTTTAATTTATTAAAAGATTTGATGAAGGTATGATTAAAATTATTTATGATTTGATTAATTTTTTTCTAGGATTTAATTAAAGGTTGGTTGAGATTTAAGATTTAGGATTTGATCAAAATTATATTTGGATTTTATTAAGATTTAATTATGATTTGGTTGGAATTTTGGATTTAAAATTTGATTAAGGTTTGATTAAGATTTATTTAAGATTTGATTTGAATTTGATTAGGATTTTATTAGAATTTAGGATTTAGAATTTGATTAGGATTTGTTTAAGATTGAATCAAGGTTTGATTAGATTTCTTTAGGATTTGATTAAATATATATTAAAGATTGTTTAAGGTTTATTTTGAATTGATTAAAGTGCAACATAATATATCTAAGATTTTTTAAAGATTGATAGGATGTATTTAGGATAATTAAAAGCTTACTAATATTATTTAAGTATGCCAAAGGATATTTTTAAATACATTATGCATTATTTTGGGTTGTTAATCAAATTTCAAGGTAAGTTCAAATCCTTCTACAACTAGATGCCTAAAAAATTTCTAGGTTAGTTTTTACATAACCCAATAACATAGCTTAATGTTGTGTTGTAATATTGCTTTTGAATGAAAGAAGAAAAAATATAGATTATATTATAGAAGAATTTAATTGAAAAACATAGTAGCAAGGTACTTTAAAAAAATATAATTAAAAGTTAAAGAGGTAGTAAAAATATTTAATAATAATATTATTTTTTTATAAAAAATGATTTCTATTTACTTTTTAGAATCATAAACAAGAAAAAATAAAGTAGATTAAGAAAAATAATATTATAAGCATCTTTAAGCAAAGTTAAAGAGTGGCTTCTAGCAAGGATTACTTAAATGAATTAGAGATTGATACTTGGAGAGGATTGATTCTAAAGCAAGGTTTAAATCACATTCTAAGGCACAAAATTACAAACCTACAATAATTGTGGGATTCTTTAGTTAATTAAAAAATAAGATTAAATAAGACTACATGAATTTTGTTTAAGTATTTATTTTAAGTGATTTAGATAGATATTGACTTTGTAAAAGCTTTACAAAGTCATGGTTTTTGGAGATGATTTGGAATTTTGTGAAATAAAAAGGGTTTATGTTTTGAAAAAATTTATAAGCATTGTAGTAAATTAATAGATGAAAATTTTTAAAGTTTTAAATTATCTTATTTATTTATTCTTATATAAATTTTATATGAATTAAATGGTTAAATTAAAATTCATTAAATTTCAATTAAATTAGAGTCTTGAAATTTTAATTTTAACAGTTAATATATTTTTTAATAATTTAAAGTAATTTTTTAATTAAATTGATTTTTTTTTTTATGAATTAATAGTAAATTTAGTTGAAATTTTTAAAGATAAGTAAATGGTGCAATAAAGAGCTATTGTTGTTGATAGATTGACATTGAGATTAAAAATAGATGATAATCAACAATCAAATTGTTAAAATATTTTCTTTAAATTTTTTGTATTTTTTCTTAACTAATAGATTAAAATTTATACAAATTTTAAATTATTTTTGACAATCTAATTAATAAAATTTGAGATTTTAAAATTTCTATAGAATTTGATTAAGATTTATTTAAGATTTAATTAAATATCTTTGAAATTTTATTAGAATTTGTTAAGATTTATTGAAGATTAGGTTAGAATATATTTATTATTAATTTTTTTAAAGATTTTTATGATTTTTGTAATATTTTTCATGATTTTTAAAAGATTTTTTAGAATTTAATTAAGATTTGACTAAATTTTTTATGGTTAAATTGAAATTAATTAATAATTTTATTGAGGTTTTTAGGTTCTTTATTAGTTTCAAAATAAAAATTTAACTTCCACAACCAAATACCTAATACATTCTCAAATAAAACAACACATTATATCACAATGGTTAAAGAGCCACCAACATTCATTTAGGTACAAGTGCTTTGGTGGCTTATTCTAAGTTGATGACACAACGACCACTTTTTTTACAATCTTT